AATAATTTATATTGAAGTTTTTCTTTTAAAAACAAAAATGTACAAGGTTTATTTTTTATTTCTAGTTTTATTTTGTTTCGCTTCGGAACACAGCCCACACTGAACTTTTGTTTCTTGAGAAGCACGCCTGTCTCATTCCCTCTCGGTACGAGAACGTTTGTCAAGTATCGGCGGCCGAGGGGGTGTTCTAATACTCTCTGCACACTGCAAATAAAATTTTAATAAGAAAAATCAAGCTGGTACCCTTTTTTGGGAGGGAATCACAAGCCCGTGTTTTGCTTGCTTCAAGATAAGTAGGTCGTAGACTCTACGGTATTGACCAAAGAGCACGAGTCAACGTCCGAGGGCGTCAAAAGAAAGATCAGTTAAAACCAAAGAAGACGTATAAGTAATCGTTGGTGTCAAAAAATGGCAAATCGGTAAAAAGAAACATAAAAACAAAGATTTCTGGAAGTTTTTGCTACAGCTAAGACTGTTTTTGTTTTCACAAAACCATTCCCAATTAGACTTTCTTTTTTTAGTTTCTCATTAGAGTGTTTTTCCCCACAAACAATGTTTTTATCGACCGTCCGAAAATAAATCACTGAAATACAACAATATGCTGAAAAACTGCCACCGATATTCTTCACAACTTAAAATTATAAGCACCAAAAACGTCCAGGGCCTAGACATAAGCTTCAATAAACACTGATATTTTTTGTTCCATTCTAAAAATGGACTCCGAGAAACACTGAATATGTGGGACAAGATAAACCCTGAATAGTCGCGGAATCCTAACTGTAACTGAACTAATTCTCTTCTCAGAAACTTGTCCTTACTTAAAAGAAAAAAAGAAAAAAAAAAAGATATCCATACATCTATAAAACAAAAGCGCCACGAGTAGACCTGCTTAGATTAATGTTATCATGGAGGCGAGCGCTGAGCGTGGGAAGACACAGGTGATGCAGAAACATCATCGCAGAATGAATTGTCTATCTTAGACAACAGAAATACGTAGTAATAAAGGTAAGCTATTTAATGCAATTTTGAAGAATACTGGCACACTAGATGACCTCAGAACTCTATGATCAAGGGTGCGATAAATATTCGTGAAGAAAAAATTGACACCAGAATTTACTGCTACAAATATGAATAGTCAAAGCGAGCAATGCTTGTATCTCTTAGCCATTTTAAAGTTTTTTGACGTGAGATAAAGACACTTCCTATGACCAGAGGTTTCTGTTACTTTAAAACTCCCCTGTTGTAAAAAAGAAATTGAAAAAGCATTTACATTTTTTGTTTTGTTTCTTGGTTTGAACTCGAGCACATGAGTGGAAGAACAAAAACAGGCAAATTCAAATATGTGTCACACAAGAAAATATGAACAATAGAGTTTAGTAGTGTAATAAAAACGATATACACCAAACAAAACAAGCTTACATTTAGAAGAAACACCCCACGTACAGCCAATGTCTTTTCATGGGCAATCGATGGGATGCAAAAATCAATATGCTTTGTTTTTCTTGTGGCTCAATCAAGGGAGAGGTAAAGGTCTTGCCCTGCAATTCGCGTCGATTAATACGAAACTAACTATCTTCTGCCAATTTTCATCACGTTTGTGATAGGTGATATTCGTTTTTTTTTTTTTTTTTTTTTTTTTTTATTATCCAAGCACATCCAGGATTGGTGCAGCCAACGACTGAGCGTCCCTACGCCGCGGAAAACACAGCGCTCGAGGGTACATTTTCGAACTCGAAATATTGACACACCGCTGCTTCATGCATGCATAGACGTTGCCTCGTATCAATAATATCTGACACGGAACTCTTAACAGTTCATTTAAATAAATAGAGTAAGATGCCTCTCGTCGCACCAATTTCTCTAAAGTTCCTTTCGCGACTAACCTTTGCGCTTTACCGCGAGTGATTTCTGTGTTCGCTTTGAACGCGGTGCCTAAACGTACAAGTCATTTTACAAAACTTTGAGCTGTGTATATTGTGTGACATGTAGCCACTAACTCAACTTGCAAACCTAGTGAACGTGTATTTTTTTTTTTTAAAAAGGCGGATTTTTTAGGCTCATTGATGATTATCCGAAACTGGGGCGAGAAACCCAGGAAAGACTACAACTGCGGAAAAGGAAGAAAAAGATGACACTTGAGTTGAGACTTCGACAACCTCTCACCTTTTCCTTTGTCTTCCGCGGCTTGATGTTTTCTAGATTTCTCGCCCCAGTCTCGGGTTTTTCAACAAAATGGTAAATATACAGTCTAAATAAAATCCGTCCTTGAAGGTTTTTTGACGCCCCAAGAACTCTTTCAGGTCGTGAAGAATGGTCCGCCTAAAGCACCATTGCCTCCGGCGCAATAGAAAGGCAACTAAGCAATGAAGAACTCGGTTTATAAAAAAAAAAGAATTAAACGAACCACTTATAGATTTTATTACAAATAACCCTCTTGGTGCTTTAAAGGATCATTCAGGGTGCAAAATATGAAAGAGTCGAAGAACCCATAAGAGTTCTTCTACGACCTCATTGTTTTAGGGTGTACGCCAGCGCGCCTGCAATGTCACGGTCATTTCCCTTGGCTCAGGTGAGATTTAACGTAGTACTCTGCTGTAAGAAAAGGCTTCCAGGTTTTTGTTATACGTTACTAAATTTCAATTTGTTGATCTCAGAAACGATTCAGCTAAAAGATTTAAAGTGCTTAGGGTACTTATGTGGTAACGCAGTGTTGTCGAATGTAAAACAACTGGATATGAAATCCAAGGGCACATTGGAGAGTTTACGTTCCAAGTCAATAAAGAATATCCAGCACGCCCTAGCAAATTAATGGGTATTAAATTAAATTTCCACGCTCCTTCGATATGAAACTAAAATATGGGTCACGTGGCCTTTTTTCGGCAAATAAGGCTACGTCGAATTGTGTGCTCATTGGTCCAGATTCGAACCCGTCAATTGGTAACCAATATGCTGGCGCTTTGTAAACAAACAATCTATAATAATGCGATGCTACATACAACATCCTCACTCATTCATATACTAGTAGAAACTCTAGTAAGACATTGAACAATTAAATATAATAAAAACACCCAAAGACAAGCGGAAAAAAAATATTGTTTGCAGGTTTACTAGATTATTTTCGCAGCAGTGGTGAAGCCAGACACAACTAAGAGCCCTACTGAAATTCCGTTTGATAGCAAAACAACTTGTTTCGCATAACATACGTTTTTTTACCAGATATTCACCCTTTCAAACTATCAGCAACGAATAGAGTAAATTTCGAATTCTCTGAAAAGAGAATTACCTATACGCAGGGTGACTTTTTTACAAGACGGATTAGCGTCTTTTAACATTCCAACATATCTACATCTTTTAAAGCGAAATATTATAATTATTTAGCATCAGAAAAATGAATTGTCACAACGCCTACACTGTATCACATGAACATTGTTATTGAGCTATATATTAAAGAAAACAAGTAAAACAGAAGAGATTTTCGAGTAATAATTTTTAGCACTACGTCTGTTGGCTTTTTTAACATTACTGTAATTGCTTGATGCTTTAATCCTCCCCTCCTATGCTTAACCACTTTGAATAATAATAAAGGCGTGCGGGACACACTTATATAACATTCCTTACTGATCCGGCAACAGTGCTGTGATAATGAACACAAAAAACGTACGAGTTTTGTGATTTTTATTTATGGTTACATTTAATTCACTATAGTTCTAACCACGTTATCCAGTCATGCCACGTCCCGCGAAAGAGCACAGAAAAACGAATTGTCTCGTCCCGCATAGAATTACGGTACAAGGGCAAGAGCAAAATTTGGAAACCACTGGAATTGTGAGCGCTTCTAAGGTCTGTATTTACTTTTCTTGTACTGATATGTATTGTAGCTTTACGTTTTATTAAATAGTAATTTCGCCTTCACGAGGAGCGGAGCTCTTCACTGTTATGTGTAGGCTTTGCTTGGCCGCTCGGCCGCTCTTCACTCGAATTTTTTCTTTCGCTTATCTCAAAAATGAGCAGTCTGTTCTAAGCAATTTGCGTTTTAATGTTCTTTGTGAAACGTTGAGATATAATAAACGTTCTAAAGAAGATTAGATATAGGACGCCATGTTATACTTGTAAACCCTGAAACGGTGGAAGAAAAAAAAAACGCGAACAAAACAACAGAGCTTCTGACCTTTTTTTTTGTTTTAAGCTTCCTTTTTTAGGGTTTACAAGTATGTCGTTTTCTAACCAGCTCGACTGCACTCTTTTCTTCTCGAAGGTACTATTGCGGAAGAAGCGTAACAAAGTGTATACCGCATCTTGTTAGGCATGAGGTTGAAAGATTAACTTTGTTTGAGTCAGACATTACTGAAAAATTCACATTTCATCTCCCACTTGCGTCATTCTCGGATTATTTCTTAAAACAACAACAAAAAACGCGTTGCTAAGTTGCTTTCATTATATAGGTTCTTTTTGAGTGTTCTAATAGAATTATAAAATGTAATGTATCCCGAAAAAGTTATGAACTTTCTATCCACCTTTGCTCAGGTGTGTTTGAAGTGAGAAGCGAACTGGTTGTGCTGGCGCATCATTAGTTCGAGATCAACTTAGGAAACTTTATTTTTACGCGCCGTTTTTTGGCCTTCCTACTTTGCGCATAGGACACCGGCAACAGCGAACTCCATAATGAAAGCTAAACTCAGCTCGGAATTGCGCTTAACCTATTCTAGTTAGCGTGTAACAATGAACCTACTAAGGTTAATGACATACGCGCGTACCGCAAAGCTAGCGAATGTTCATAAGAAGTCTAGTTTCGATTTTTGTGATCTGACATCTTTGTCTTAGAAAGTATAAAATCAAAATCGGCGATTATTTTGTGTTTTACGAGCGGAAACAGCAACTGTCGTCGTCAACGTTGAAAGCAAACACCTTTGTTTTGTTTTTCTCTTTGAGGGGAATGCAACGATACGCGAAGTGTTGGTCGGCGCTCTAAATAGAGTTGTCTCAAACGCTGTCTTCCTCACCTTGTGACGCTAGAAGGAAAATTCCGGCGAACGTCCCGAGGAGGAAGAAGAGCATCGAAATCCGGGCCGGGGTCCTGCGAGCGCAGTCTGTCGACCCCACGGGGTGCGCCGAGCGACGAGAATCCATGAGTCTGGTCGCGAAAACCCTCGGCGTCGGCTGGTCGGCGTTGTTCTCACCACTCACAGCCCTCACGACTAGCCCGGACTAAAGCGCATAACTTCCGCCGCACTAGCACCGCCGTCTCGATCAAGCCTACCGGCATTCGCTGAAATCCAAGGCGATCAGAAAAGCACTCGCACCGTCACAAACCCCAACCAAACCTAGTTTCCCTCCGCGTTTCTCGGCGACGAAGTGGAGCCGCTGAGAACGGGGAGACCAGATTCTTTCACACTCTTGGCACCCACACCAGCGGCAACCGTCGATATCAATCTTGAGCCAAGATTTTTTCCCGCAGCAAGGAGACGCACCAGCAAGAAAAATAAAGCGGGGCCCTCTGACCCGTCGCTTCCAGAAAACCCCCGGAGTCGGAGCCGTGCGGCAGAGCCGACCTACGAGCGATCGACAAATGTCCGACACTCGCGCCGCGTCGCGGCGTCCTCTGACAACTCGCTGTGACGTAGGGTTCGCCCACGTGACAGAGTCCGATCCAATGAGGCTGGTCGGGGGAGAGCGGGAGTTTGGGGGGTGAGGGCTGTGGCGGCCACTACTTGGGGCTGGATCCGTTCTGTCGGCCGTGTAGTTTTAAAGCGACGCTTGGGCCGCGGGAAAGGTTTTTTCCCTCAAGGTGCTTTGAAAACGGAAGAACGAAAATGCAGCGGGGAAATTGTAATCTGGGAGTTGACGGACGAAACCAGTAGAAGTCGACTGGCATGGCCCAGTTAAGGACAGAGTTTACTTTAGGTCACCCCGGAATCTTTATCGAGAAAGCGTGTTTACGTTTTTGTTGGGCATTAAAGGGTATATATATATATATATATATATAAACAATGATATTTACTAGATTACGGGAAAGAGTTTTGCGTGCTTTTCGTAATTCCCTAGAGACTCTAGCGGTCCGTACCAGGTGTTAATGTTTCAGTACTAACAGTTATCTTATTCAAATGTTATTAGCGATTTCCTAAAATTTTCAATCGGAAAATGGTGCCCGATGGAGCTCTCGATCTCGAATGCATGGAGCTGAATGGCGCCAGTCATAAAAAAACGGGCGGAAACGTGCCCCTTTTTCCCACTGAAAGTTTTAGAAATCATTTCCTGCTTTTGAATGAGATAGCGCTTAGTGTTCACACTTTCAGATCTGGATTGTATCACTCACAGTACATGTGACCGAAAATTGAGCGTTGGGCAAATCGTAACTTATCTTTGCGGAAAAAAAATTCTTTTTTGGTTTGGGGGGGGGGGGGGGGGGGGGGGGGGGAACGGCACTTGTAAATAAAATAAAGGCAAATTGATGAAAAAATAGTTCAGAGCAGAAGTGTTGGTTCGGTAGGAAAACCTATACGCAAGAGTGTTAGCGTGCTTGCCTTTTCACTAGACCTGGGGTCTCCAAAATTCGGCCCGCGGGCTAGATCCCGCCAGCGAAAACTCTCGGATCGGATCGCGGCTGGCTACGGTTCTTCGATAGAAGACCGGCCCGCTTGTAGCAGACCCATTGCAACCGGCGCAAAAAAAAAAAAAAAAAAAAAAAAAAAGATGTGCGCCTTAAGAAAACGGCGACGCGACGCGCTCCAGATGTGCATAAGAAGATACCAGAACGAACGAGAGAAACTGCATTGTAACAGGCTTCTTTCACCTTGACTGGACATTCTCATCACCAGCCTCACGATAAGTGCACTCGTTTGATGTGTGTAATTATGTTAAAATTATTTGGGCGTTCTCATGTACATTGTGCGAGCATTGCTTTTATTAACCATTCTTATTTGTCATTTGCACAGCGCGAATGTGCCGAAGTGTCCGCGCGCTTTGATTTATGCTTGGTGAGTTTTCGTGGCCACAATTGCTGTGTAACGTCGTAATTAGCTAAATTTAAATCTTTTAATTGAAATACATGTATTCATCCAGCATCGTTCTTTTTTTTACTACTCTAACATTTATATTTGTGTTTAAATCCTTGCCTATGCCTATTCATTTAGTTTTTCCTCGTTTATAAGTACTCTTTTTCTTGCGGGCCATCTAGACTACGACAGTTGCCTAAATCAGCTCTTAGTCAAAAAGTTTGGAGACGCTGAATCTAGATGAAGCCATGATATTTTTGGCTTTAATCTTTTACAACATAACAACTCTACAAGGGACCCGCACTAAAATTAAAAAAAAAGCCTCACTGCGGCATTTTGTTCACAAGGATAAATTTTTAATTACACCAGAAAGAGGGATTAAAATTATTAAGCATCCACTTTCAAGAACATTATCCCCCCCTCCCCCACAAAAAGAAAAAATTATGTTAATGCCCGTCGGCACCTTTGGCATTCTGTTGAGTGTTTACAACTAATGTTGCTGTTTTCAGTTAAATCCGAATAAAATCCGGAAAATACTAGCCAATATTTTTATTTTTTCAAATCGGATTTATTAGACAGGCTAAAAATTACGAGTTCACGATGGAAACGCAAAAGCAAAAGATGCGGTGTTCTACATATAGATCTGATAAGAACATAAGGCCAGTTATCTTCAAAATAGGCCACTTTAGTTTCCTTTAAAATCTCAAACTACTGAATTAAAAGAAAAATGAAAACAAAGTAAAATTAAATTTCGAATTTAAAAAAAAAAATGGGAATCGAACAAAAGTAATTTTCGATGAATTCCAAATTCGGAGCGAAAAATGGACTCCGAAAAACACCCTGCGAATTCCCCCAGAAATGAGCACCGAAAACACGGAATGTCATTTATAACCTTTCCTACCGTCCTTCGAAAGTACCGGTCGATTAGTCGGAAGAGAAAGTGCCAATAAATCTTTTTTTTTTTTTTTGGTATTGTTGCTGTAAGTAAACACGTATTCCTGACAAGGTTGAACTCGGATTTGTAACCGTGGGGGCGTAGAACTGCAGGCGCAAAGATGGCTCCTGTGGAAAACCGAAACCTTGAAACGCGTTGAATTTGATTGACATTTTGAAACGCCGCAGAATGCCCTGCACGAATCTTATATACTTCTAAAATTAGTTGATTGAATGGTTTTCGATCATGCCCAGAAGGTTTCCCGTTTAAGGTATATACTAAATGTTAGCAAACGCTAATTAGTCAAATGTATCAGACACTAATTATTCCGAACGTTATTAATTTTCCCCAGTAGGCCATTTGGTAAACACCAATGCAACATCAGCCTTCTTTTTTTGTGCGACGGGTACTTTTCGTAGGAATGATTTGGCTCGCCATCGAAAAAACGGCTTGTACGTTATCTCTGTTTAGCCTCTGATGAGATTGCACTATGGTAAATGACATCCAAACAACCTATGGTCGATCACCAAAACTGATATTGAGCCTAGATGCTGGTTTATGTCGATGTAGGGGCCGGCATTCCTAATGGTTGTGTTCCCCATCGCGGTAAGATATTTTTGACTGAGCCGGGTTGTGCAGAGTGTTATATTTTAAAGTTTGTTTTTTAAAGATACGTGAAATCTATACTGATGGGGTTTGTCCAGGTGAGTTATACGGCCAGAGGGTCATAATATAGCGTGTGGCTAGTCGTCACGTTAAGTGGAAAAATCAAGTAAAGGGTCTTTGTTAACTTTTTAATTAGGAAAATTAAAGACGTATGGCTTCAACTAGAAACTTTTGGAGCCCCTTTAAATTTAACTACATAATTTGATAGAAGGAATAATTGGGGGCCATGTAAAGCGCGGTTTTATGTTAAAAATGCTGCTAATTCACCAGGCGCAATACTGGTCTGAGATAGAGACGGAAAACCCGCAGGCTCTTTGCGCCACTTTAGCGCAATACCGCTCTTTAACGCGTCCCAAATATTAATAAAAAAAGTTACTTACTAAGTGGTTTTTAATGACGCTGAGCAAGTTTCGGAATGTCATCTTATCTTTATCTTCATTATTTAAAAAGGTTAATTAACTACTTTTAGTTAATTAAAGGACAAACTATGACGATTATTTCTCTCTAATATGTCCCCCTGGTCGTTTAACTCACCTGCACATGCCACATGAATGTAATTCTCCCACTTAAAAAAAAAGTCTGTAAATTGTTACGAAAACACCAGGTGTAAAGGCGCAGCAAGGAGACTAATGAGATATTGGAAGGACTCGAGGGCATGTTTGAACGTCCTCATCGATGTTTCTGAGGCACGTGGATAGAGGTCCAGCGGCGGGAAAGGGGGGGGGGGGGGGAAGCGAAGTAGTGTTTTCCTTATTTAGCAGCTGCAATGACCTTCATAAAACGTGTTTAGGTTGAGCGCGTGTATCGATCTTCCGGCCTTTGGTACGCTGTTCTTGAAATACAAAGACATCTTTAACTTCGTGCTTCCAACTTTGATGCGATAGCATTCTACTGAAACCCTGTAATGTCATTGTTTGCTCATGTTGGTCACACCGTGACGTAACATTACGTGACCAGGTCATGCAACCTCAGGTAGCATGACGGTGTCACGTGACACTAAGACGTCACGTCACGTGACATTTAATTTAATTAAGTATTTTCAGATGCTACTGTCTCCTTATAAAATGCATCTTAAGGCCCGGCTTTCAAATCAGAAAGAAAAAACAAACATGAGAAAGCAAAAAGATTTAGACACAGAAGGGCAAATCAATAAAACATTAAAAAACAATATCAAAATGAAAAAAGGGAACCAGATATATACTAGAGATTATGTCCTTACACATACGAAACATGTACCGAAAAGAACATACCAAGGTAGAGAATAACTAGCATATTAGCATCAACAAAACGAAGGTAGAGTTCTGCTTAGACACAGTACTTACTCAAGAAGCACCCCAATACCAAATAAGCGCCGAAAAAAAATGATACTCTGAACGATTGTGAAGATGCATAGATAGCATCGTTGGTCGTGCAAGTTTTATTGTATTCCTGGGTGAAGCTTCTGGAATCATGGCGTACTGCTGAGATGAATCATTGAATTTTTCTTCTTATGCAATTCTTAAACATAGATTCCTGCTGCGTAATGATCAGGCCTACTGCCAAAATATTAAGTTCTAAAAATGATAATCTGTGTAGCAGCTTCTTTCACGTGTAAGTGTTTTGTGAAATGTGCCCGTCATGGTCGTGCAAAGTAATAAAACATTTGAAGCCGTTTTTTTACTAACGAAGAGAGAGTAGGCGGTAGGAAAACAAGCAAACCCCAAAATGTATCTTTTCCAAAAATAAAATGGTACCATTATCAAAACACAAGATCAGCATAAAAACGTCAAGTTCCTCAATCAAAAAGTCAAGATAATGAGTATTAACATCAATATCTTGAATCAAAACGTCAATATTCTCATTCAACAAAACAATATCTTGAATGAAAACGTGAATATCTTAAATCAAACAGTTAAGATCTTGAATCAGAACGTCAAGATCTTGTTGTCAACCGTCACCCACCCGCGCATATTTACGTGAAGCGTCTATTTTGAGCCACGATGACTT